TCTCCAATCCAGTACNATCCAAAATAATAACATTATTCTTATTTGAATTTTCCGATGCTTTTCCCCTTTTTCATGGAATTGCCCATCTATGAAACGTATTTTTTAATCAGTAACTACGAAGATCGATGTCAAAATCACGAGAATCGAATCCTTCAACAAGGGGGTACTAAATCCATGTTTCGTTTCGAGATTAGGTTGTTGTAACAAATAATACCGTATTCAAAATATGGGACATTAGATACTATAGAAATAAACGCCCCCCCCCCTTAAAAAAACGATAGAATCATTGCTTAAAAAATTAAATATTTATATGCAGGATTCGAATTTCCTATATTGTCCGAATTTCCTATATTGTCCGAATTTCCTATACTAACAGTGATTTTCACGTGGTTTTTAAATATTCCGATATATTTCTATATCGGAATATTTAAAAACCACGTGAAAATCACTGTTAGTAATTGCTGAAAATACAATCGAAGCACTGCATGGATTTGCGACAGTATCGGCATAAAGCGAGCGTGTCAAAAAGTGATTATTTAAATGCGCAATTAAAATTTTAAGTGTAGAAATAACATTAACAAAGAAATAACCGGAATTTTGTTGACGTATGCCTGTTTAGGCAGAGGGGGTGCGATTGTTCTTGTTTTCCAGTGGCGCCATCTATGGCCAAGAATTCGACTTCTGCCACACCATACGTCGCACCTGTGTAGGGTGGACCCATTCATACATCCATTCTTTCATCCACAGATCGTAATTTTGACCTGAATCAGATAATGATCCATCTCCAATCCAGTACCCCCAAAGGTTTTGATTTGCTATGGGAACATGGAGGACTTTTGCGACTCGACAGATTTAAAGTGCATCAGTCACTTTACTACACGGGAACCGGAATTTTAAAAAACATAAAGTAGAATTCGGTAGCACTAGCAATAAAAAGTCGAAAAAACGATGAAATCGTCACATTAAAAGACGATCATTGATTTGAGTTTCGCGTATAATTAAAGTGAATAGAAAACATCGATATTTGTTTTTATAAAAAATTTGAAATTGCAATAACTATCGAAAGAACGATTGAAATACCGCATGGATTAACGAAAATAACTGCGCAAAACGAACGTGTCAAAGAATGATTTTTTGAATCCGCGATCCGAATTTCACGTGCCGTAATAATATCGGTAGATTTCAAAAATTCACGAGAATAACTGAGCAATGAAAGACATCAAGATTTCGAAAAAACAAAGCCGAAATGCGTAGCAATTATTGCCAAAAAAAAAAATAATAATCAAAACACTATTCACACTCGAATTTCCCAGATTGTCAGAAACATATAGGGACATTTAAAAACCACGTGACAATCAATATCAATAACTGCCGAAAATACAATCGAAAAACCACATAGATTTGCGGTAGTATCGACATTGAGTGCGTTAAAAAGTGATTATTTAAATAGGCAATAAAAAATGTTACGTGTAGAAATAAAAACTCAGAAATAACCGGAATTTTAAAAACCCCGTGGAATTCGATAGTACTTGTCTTGTAACTAAAGTGCATAAAAAGCATCGGAATTTTTTTTTTTTTAAATGTGAAAATTCGTAGCAATAACTGTCAAAGAGAACGATTGAAATACCGCATTGGATTAACGAGAATATAGGCGCATAACGAGCGTGTCAAAGAATTAATTTTTGAATCCGCGATCCGAATTTCGCGTGCCGTAATAATATCGGTATATTTCGATAATATGAATAACTGAGCAATAGAGACATCAAGCTTTCGAAAAAACAAAGCTGAAATTAGTAGCAATAACTGCCCAAAAAATAATAATCAAAACACTACATATATTACGATGGAATCGGCGTGAGCTGTTGTGAACGAAAATGTATAAACTCAAATGCGTAGTTTAAAATTTTCAAAAGCGTAATTTTTTTAAAAAAAATATTTAATCGATTTTATTTCAACCAAATTAAAAATAAAAAAAAGTAGAGCATCATTTTTCTACAAATCTGAAAGCAACAAAATTGCCGAGGATTCAAAGGATTCTTTTGAAAAGTGAAGTAAAAGTTTTGTTACATAATATTAGTTGCTATATAACAATTCAGGGGGGAACCTTTTGAAAATCTGGGTAGGAAAAAAAACGAAAATGTTTTACTTGATTATTCTTTATTTCTCATTATTCCCAAATAAGAATAGAAAAATCATGAACATTTCTTTCCCCTCACTTCTTCTTAAATAAGAATTGAAAATTCAGGAACATTTCTTTCCTCTCTGATGCGCGAAATAGACATATTTTAAAAGTAATTTTAGAGACTAAAAATTTCTGCAGAAAAGAAAACCAAAATTCTTTTCTTCCTAAAAGGAAATATTTCCTAATCCATCCTTTCAGCGAGAACTCTGTACAGTTTGCGGCAATGTCACCGTGGTTCTGAAACCGGGAACGAGTATATATATATAATGTTTCAAAATGAATGATATTTCAATGTTAAAAAATTTAATGAAATTAAAAAATAGGACCAAAATATCCCCATTTTAGTTTAAGATTTCTATTAAAGACTAAACTTGTTTCTCATCTACTGTCCTTTTTCAAAAAAATCCATGTTTAAAGAAAATTTTAAAAAATTGAACCCAAAATCAGGCTGAAAACCATAATTCAGAATATCAATTGAAAGATAAAATATCTCATCTTATTGCTCAGTTAATTACTGATTTTCTTATGGCAGCTGGACTAGAAAGAATGTTTTGTCATTTTGGATAAGTTCAGTTCAAACTGTGAATTTATTTATGGACTAAAAAGCAGCAGAAAATCTTTTAATGTTTAAATATTTCACTAAAAAGAAAAGAAACAAGTAGTGACTTTTTGATATTTTTAGTTTAGTAAGATCATCATGACACTTAGTCATGATGATCTTAATGAATTAGTCATGAAGTTTATATTTTAATGAGAACCAAAGAATGTGTTTTATTTAAAATTTGCTAATAAATTTAGGTAAAAATTTTGGTAGTTACAAAAAAAAGATTAAATTATGCAGTGAACATATAATGAAATTATTTATTAATGGGATGAGAATGTATATTGTAGATAATAGTTGGTTATATCTATTCGCACCAAGTTATTATTTTAAAAAGCATTTCTGCATTGTACATTAAAATCTTTAATTATACACCTGGAATGAATAACAAATTCTTAATAACAAGGAAAACAAAAGTTTAAATTTAAAATATTTTTTCCTTCATTTCTGAATCAAAAAGTATAATAAAGATAAAAATTAATAATTTTTTGTGCATTTTAAGACAGGTAAAAAAACTCATACATTAAAAAATAGAAATGGGCATAGCACATGCTACAAAGGAAGAGAGCCTTTCATTTCATGAATGTATACAATGCTTCTACAAATTTCATTCATTAACTTTAAAACAAATTATGTGTTTATTTATAATTTAAAACATAAAACATATTATGCTCTACATTATATCACTAAAAATCATTTCAGTAACTTCATCATTATATATTTAAAAGGCAGAAATATGACTAAAACAGTTTTTCTTATAACCAGTTATTTCTTCGATTTTTCCCTGCGATAATAATCAAGTAGTATACTTTTTCAGTTTATACTTTGTTTTTTTTATATTTATTATATATAAATATGCATGAAGAATATATTTTAAAAAAACACAGTTAACTCTGGACGAAATTGGGTTGTTTCATGAATAAATAAAATTATTTATTTTTTCATGATAAAACTCAAAAAATTCCAAGCAGCTTGGGTTTTCCTGAAAATCCTGGTTTTTTAATACCATGATTAAAATACACATTACTACGATAAACATGACACATTTCAGGCCTAAATATACGATTTCTTGTTATTGCTTTTTCAAATATCTGACCACAGAATAAAAAATAAAAAAATGTAATGTTCTAAATGCTTTTAACATGGGTTTGAAATTTATAAATTTACTAAAATCTTAGGGGATATATCCATATTATGATCCGTCACCCAAACTACAATCGCCAAGGTGCCAAATATATTTTAAACTTGCATTTTTCAAAATAAAGCGTAGAGGTTTGTCTGAAGGTGGCTACGAATTAAACCCCTCGAGTTGGCACTGCCCTTCTTTTTTTTAATTAGTAGCATGCAGCTGCCCAGAATTAGTCATTCATTCTACCACAGATCACAATAGAGAAATCTTTTCAAATTTTAATTTGTTAATTAATTTCTTAAATAGAATTACTAGTATATAAGTAAATTAAATTGACCTAGAAACTATAGAAAATTAAGTTTAATAACATTATCGCTTTCAAAGAAAAATTACCCCATAAAAATATATTAATAATTTGTATTTAACTTCATAATATTTTAAATTATAAAATTATTAAAACATTATAAACTTAAATTATGTATCATAAAATTTGTATAAAATTATAACGAGTTTGTTTGCATCGTTATTAATAGGTTTTATAAAATTTTTGAATTTAATGAGAGCTGATTTTTTTTTTTCTTCATTAATCCTAACATTGGTGAAAAAAGCTTAGTAATATGATTTAAAATAATCCAAAGACCGTAAATAAAATATTACAAAAATATTTTTATTAAAATATAAACAAAAAGATTTCTAAAAAGGATTAAACGAAATAAAAAAATTTTTTAAATAATTGCACAAATTTATGCTTGAGAACAAAAACCGATGAATAATAATAATATCGTTAAACATTTTAATATAACTTTCAATACAATTTCTAGATTCTCTACTATCGCAGGAGCTCAAATGCATTGATTCTTAAAATGATGCAGCTTAAAATGTTGCAGTAACTCAGAGGAATGCTCCCATAAAACTTTTTAACCATTGTTAAATACAGACATTAAATTACTCAAAAATGAGAGTTTTTCCTATTTCACTTAATATATTTTTTGATTTTAATTCAAGTTTGCTACAATCTGTTCAATTCTAAAATAGCCGGAAGATATAATATTACAGCATATTTTTAAATTTAAAAACAGTTAACTTACCGCTTTCAACGCTGCAAGTCTATCCTTAGTCATGTTGCTATATTTTATGAGTTTATATTATCACCGAGAAATTTAATAGATGTTTTTAAGCGTCTAATCACCATAAAAATTAAAAAAATTTCACTAAACACATTATTGAAACCAACACAGCACAATTTTTCATCGATTTTCTGTCAGCACAACCGACCGACAAGAACACAAATTTTTAAATACTGCATTCTAACTACGGAACTCAGTTTAACGCATGCGCATTGCTTCAGTGTTGTATTGAAAATTCCCTGTTTATTCCCTACACATCTATCATTGCATAATAACAGTTGGGCGATCGTTTCTGCCCTTTTACATTATTAGAAAGAAAAATTTGAGCTGATTTTGAATTTTTGGAATTTTTCGGTACAAACAGCGGAACTGCCTAGGCAGCCGAGACTCTGTTCGCCAACCCTACAAATTTGTGGTAAGGCGACATCTGAAATTGGCGAGCGCGAAAGTTATTTTCACGCCAAGTTTTGTCAGACTGGCAGCAGCTAAAATTTGCCAGGGATATGAAAAGCGTGTGATGTACTGTATCTGTTGTGTTCAATGACAGTCTATATTTTAGTCATAAATCTTTTGTTTGTATTTATTATAAATAACTTTTCATATGCTCCGCATGTAAGTTAGGGCCATGGAAGACTAGTTTTTTTTTCCTCATATTTTCTTTTCGATATCACTTGCACTGTTATATCTGAGTCTATTGTTATTGCTCGCGAAAAGTCGTTAATCATATGTTTAAAATTACTTCTCAATAAGTGATGACACTATTTATATTTATTAGTATTTACTTCAATATTTTGCATCCCAAAATAAAAAATTACGTTTTAGTAATTTAAACATTAATATTGCTTTAATTTATTTTGAAATTTATTTATATGCTCACAATTGTAAGGGTTGCACATATAGATTTCAAGATGAGTTTTCTTTTAAAATAAAAATTTTTCATTTATTGATATGTTCAGTGAAATGCTTGTTATCTCAAATAAATATAACATGGTGCAAATTTCCAGGATTATTATTTTTTTTTTTTTGCATTAAATATATTGTTTCAATTAACTATATTGTTTCAGTTTGTCTTTTATTTTTTTTTTTTGTTATGTATCTATTTATATAGGATAATCTACTCAGTTGTGCTTGTAGGAAATGCCATGAGGAAAAGATCACTGACTTAGTATGACTCCAACTGGGATGTTGTTTAAGTTTTGCGTATATATTCGGAAAAAAGTAATTGCTTTGCTTGTTTTTTCTTTTTTTGAACAATAAATAATTTGTCGACAATGAATGTTGAACATACTCTTCTGTTTGATTTTAAAATGTCAGAATTTTAATATTTGAGGAATAGATTTTTTGTTTAAATTTATTTTAGTATTATGTTCATTTGAATGTTTCATATCCCTGTTTCAATACACAGTTGAGGAGAGTTTTTTTTTATTATTAATTGTTTCAATTTGTAATTTTTAATTATGTATGTATTTACGAATAGAATAAACAACTCAGTCACGAAGACAATAAATATTAAGAATTCCGAGTTATTTTTTCTTATGCAATTTTCGGAAGCTATAAAAAAATTGCGCATATTTTTTCCTTCCACTTTTGAGTAAGACTGAAACCAAGGAAAAAAGTTGAAATTATTTAAATTAGAGGGCTAGATGTTAATGCTTATTTTAACCGATATTGTGAGCCTAGCTATTTTGAGTCTGCCTCTATAAGCTCATTTCCTTCCGCATTCTCACCTAGATTAGAGTATCCAAGAACCCGGTAAAAAAAATTGATTTATTACCCGAAAAGTTTCAGGAGTTCGATGGAGTAATAACTCCAGTTTTTACCAGGAAAAAATCGGTTTTAATAAATCAAATTTTGAAATATTTTACAAGATACTGTTAAGTATCTTTATTGCTCATATATGTATAAAAACATATGCTTTTATTTTCACATATTTCTTTGAAAAAAAAACTCGATTTGAAAAGATTTTTTTTTAAACTGTAAGACTCTGATATGCAGGCATCTGCTAATAATTAACTGCATAGTTAATTTTGCATCTGATTTACTTATATTTTAACAACATTTATTTACGTAACTTCTCTTAAACTTAGGACATTTCTTAAGTATGCTAATAAGGCGGCGGTATACCGATGAAATATGTTTTAACTGCAAGAGTACAATTTTTAATTATCCAATGACTATAAACATAATTTCAGCGCAATAGACATTATATAAATACATGCTCATAAATTACTCCATAATTAAATGAAAATTGTAATTTATTTTCAGCGTTGAATAAAAGATCCACGTAGTAGATTTGCTGTCTTTAACATTATGATCCTATATTCGCATGCAAGTAATTTTGAATCGAACCCAGAAGATATAGTGACTATTGGATCAAGAATTATTACAAACTCACCCCCGTAAAAAAAAAAAAAAAAAAAAAAAAAAACACCTTTCATTGTAGAACTAATCAGTATTTTTGTTACTGGGAGAAAAAACACACATAAAACCTCCCACGGTTATCTCGACGTTAAGAAAACTCTAACCTATTAAAAAAACAGAAATTATACAGCCAATAGTGGGACTAGTCAGAAATTCAAACTGTCAATGAATGAGAAATACGCTTTCTAGAGAAAATTTAATAATACCGATTGCTGATTTCATTCTAACATGCTTTTGACCAATAAAAGCACAACAATCAGACTATACTGAAAATTAACAAAATGACCCATGTTGAGTTAAGTAAAAATGAAAACGTTTTTGAAAAAAAGTTTTACTTTTTTAAATAAAAGCTACCTTTTGCTTGTAAAATTTATTTATAAAATCTAATTTAACGAGCGCTTTTATTTACTTGGAAATTAATTTAGTAACAATATCAAACAATTAATATTTGTTAGGGAATATTTGTTTGTCTGTAATTTTTCTTTCTCTATTATGCGTCTATAAAATGTTGTGCCTAGAAACTTAAATAATACAAATATATTATTACTTTAATCATTTAATGAAAATTAATTTTAGCTTGTTATTATTGTTTTGAAATGCATTAGAAAAAACATGTACATAATTTATTAAGCTATTACTTTTAATACAAAATATGCAATTATTTTTAAGCAAAATAATTTCTCATGGTACTCTTAATAAGTGTTGCAGATTTATTAAATATCCCCCTTCTTAAAATGCCGTTATTAATTCAAATTTTTTTCCTTTTGTAAAAGAATCTTTATTATTATTTTTTTTTTTTATTTATTATTTTCCTGGAAAAAAAGCTTTTTTCTTTATATTATTTAGTTAAAACTTCATTTAAGATAGTAATAACGTCTGGACATTTTTCAGACATTAAAACTGCAGTGATACTTTTCATACATTTTTTCTTTTTTTTCTCTTATTAAAAAATAAGATTTAGCAATTCAAAAAGATTACGGCTTCTCACTCTTAATAAGTTATTGCTTCGATTATAATTTATTTACTTTCCAGTGTCTATTAAAATACAATTTGTTTTTATAGAATTAATCAGTAAAAATTTCACACAATAGTAAAATGTACCGTCCATAAACGCAGTAGCGTACAAAGGGGGATGAAGTGGGAAACGACAGCAAGCAACCCTATATCTCCTCTAAAATCCAACCAAACGGAGCAGCCAATCGATGACCAAGGGCATTAAAAGTTTGAAAACCATTATTTTTTTGTGAAACCAAATTTTCTGACAAGTGAATAGTTTTTTTTCGCAGGAAATAAAGTGATTTTCAAATAAACTTAGTTGTGAAATTTTAAGCTATTAAAATTTAATTATTATTTGCAATTAAGGAAAAATTTAAATATTCTATTAGAAATAATCTATTATTTGAATATAGATTTATATATATAATTTTTTTTTCTTTACTTAAAATAGTTTTTGCCTGCATTTAAATAAAAAAATGGATTTTTATTCATTTATTTCTTTTACCCTTTTAGCGTGTTACATTTCTCTTCTCGGGAGAGCATGAACCGAGGAGAATCATCAACAAACCTAACAATCGTTTGCCCCCCGGCATCCTAAGGCCTCTGCACTCGCCATTGCTTATGTAAATACTTAATTTTATGAATAACTTTCATATTATTGGTTTAATTTTAATATGAGTATTGTCTCAAACCAGTGTTACGTGGCACCGGATACTTGGTGAAATTGACCGACTCCGGTAACTGCAATTCATCATCCGGATCCGGGTAATTACCGTGGGTAATGATAATTTGGACGAATAGCCAGTGCATCCCTATTTTATGCATATTATAAAATTAATTTTTATGATGAAATTTTAAATAAAAATACAACATTTTTGTAATACGCTTGAAGTCATCAATGGTGAAGTCTTCTGGGAAGAAGAGTAAATTTCAATAGCGAATGCAATATATGGGTAAAAAAATACATAGCTGTTGCGCAAAAGAGGGTATTTCTCGATAAGTTAACGCAACTAATGGAAAGAAAAGCAAGGAAAATGTTTGGAAGGAAAATTCTAAAAATTATTAGTTTCTTTCACCATCCATATGTTTCTCTTTTCTTTCATTTTTTTTTTGACAAGTTTAAAATTGTACTACATTGCTCAACTAATATATGCGCTCTGACTCGAGCCGGTGTCCTTGGTGAGGCCCAGCCCTACCATTAGCACGGTACAACACTGCTATAGTACTTTGGGAAGCTTGTTTCACTAATTGTATCTACATAGTGAACTATCATTCGTTGAACGACAACTATTAATAATGATAAATTACCTTGGTGTCGAAACAACATCAGTGGCCGTTCTATATATATTTAGTTGTAAAATCTTTCCTAATTAGCCTAGAACCACAAAACTTTTTCTGTGTAATCACCTACGAAAATGATTCAGAGCCACACAAAAAATTTCAAATTCGATGAAAAAATACGGAAATGTGAGCAAACTAAACAGGCTCCTGTGAACAATCGACACCGACGGACGTTTTAGTGTTAATTGGATAAAAAAGGAAAACAGAAATATTTATTTGAAAATAAATGAAAAAATAGCTCAATTTTCTATTATTAATGTTCAATTGCTATTTATTTGTAGTATTTTTTTCTTCTTTATGTCGTGTTACTGATTTAAGTCTCATGCTATTGAATTTTAAATTACAAATGTGCCTTGAAACTTAAACTATTGCAATTTTTCCTACTTATTAATTGGCCTATAATCATTTTAAAGATACTTAAAAAAACATTCCGAAAAAAAAAAAACAAAAAANAAAAAAAAGAAAAAAAAACAAGATGCTTTGGAATAATTCATATCGAGGGGGGAAAATGTAAAATTAAAAGAATGATGCAAATATTTGCATCAATAGACTTTGTTAATAATATTAGAATGAAATAAATAAAAATATTGTTGAGGAATGGTTTTACTTTTATAAATTGTAATGAAAAGAAGAATCCTAGGAATTGGGAAGCCTTTATTTATTGTAAACACATTTCCTTTCCTTTGTAAGGGAGGATAAGATGAAGGAAATTTGAAATCCCATGCCACTAAAATGAAAAGATCGGTCTTTTCCAGACAGCTAGTAAATGTCGAATGAAAAAATATGGCAGGTATTGATGAACTCCAAAAATATTTCAAAACGTGCCAAAAAATGATGAATAGCCAAATGTAGTAAATACGGAAAACGATCACACACTAACGTTGATAAAATCGACCAATGACATTATCCATTTAAGTTTTAGACTCGGCTGCTAGGCAACGTCCACCCAGAAATCATCCCCGAGTGCAATGTTGAGATTATTTAAAGTTTAAAAATTATGATTTTTATACATATTGGGTTTATAAAATAATATTGTAAATATTTAAAACATTAAAAATATAAAAAATAAGTGCAAATTTTAAATTACAATTTTAAACTGTAACTGTGCTTGCTCATAAATTGCAGACGAAATATTTCTCTATGGATACCATAAGAAAACAAATATTCTTAAAATATTTACATTTATCAACAAGGCATTTAAATCTGAAATATGTTCCTAAGCATGACTCCTGTAATTCTGAAAGTATTTCTCTTCTACAAAACTTCATAAATAATCACAAAAGTCTGTTTGTTTTGACTGGAGCTGGAGTGTCAACAGAAAGTGGTTTGCCTGATTACAGGTCCAAAGACGTTGGTTTATATGATCGTAGTTCTCACCGACCTGTTCAATACAAAGATTTTATTTCGAACTGTGAGGTTAGAAAACGATATTGGGCTAGAAACTTTGCTGGTTGGAAAACATTTTCATCCGTTCAGCCAAATTCCGTCCACTTAAGCTTAGCTGAATGGGAGAAAAATAATTTAATTCATTGTTTAGTCACTCAAAACGTTGATAGATTGCATCATAAAGCTGGTTCTAAAAATGTCATTGAATTACATGGAACATCTTATTTAGTCAAATGTTTAAATTGCCCCAACTTATTTTCAAGACATTCATTTCAATCATTGTTGTTATCCCTAAATCCTTCTTTTCAAGTTGAGGAAGTAGAAATCAGGCCAGATGCCGATGTTGAATTAAATTCTGAACTTATAAATAGTTTTAATGTCCCTGATTGTGAAAAATGTGGTGGTATTTTGAAACCGGATGTTGTTTTCTTTGGAGAAAATGTTCGTAAAGAAAAAGTTTTTAATGTTCGCCAACAATTAGAACTTTCTAATGCAGTTATAGTTTTAGGTTCTTCTCTTCAGGTAATTAAAAGCTTTTGTTTGCATTATGTTTTTGAAAAGTGTTGTGTTAAAATATTTTTGGGATTGATATTGATTTCTAAAATGAAATTCATTTAGATTATTACAAAAAATTCCTTTGATTTTCAAGACCATCTTTTTTTTTGTGAGAAGGTGGGTTGTATTTCCAAACTCTTGCTTATTGTAATAAGTTGCCCATTAACTTGAACTTAAGTGTTTATAAATAACCATATTTATAAATTCTGTGTTTATTACTTAAATGGACCAGAAAAAAAGATGTCCCATAACGACACTGTCATAAAATGATACCGAGTTCTTGCGGAAAGATTTTTCTTTTGGGAAGTAAAAAAATATTTTAGCTTTCTTTTCTGCAGGCATTTTTGAAAATTTTTATCTTTTCTTCATAATTATATTCAGCAGATTCCTTTCTCGTGCATCGGATGGGGGGAAAAAATGCTTGTGATTTTTCTATTCTCATTTGAGAATAAGGAAGTAAAAAATTTGATTTTCGTTTCTGCAGAAATTTTCGTTTAATTTTTTTATGCAGTTAGTACTATTGATTTCCACATAGCTTTTAAAATCCGATATTTTAAATGCTATATTATTTATTACAACTAAATCTTGAAATAAAAGCAGGAATTTAGTAACCCCTTTTTGAAGAGTCTGATTCACATGATTTCGCTGTCGCTCTTTTTAGGTACTTGCGGATTATACGGTTTTCTGCTACTGTTTCAGTTCTGCTACGAATTACACGTTTTTTTAGTATAAATTTTTTTTTTAATGTGTTGACGATTTACAAAATGCGAAAAGGGAAATAATTAGTGTGTTTTCTCCCGACAAAATGTGTGAATATCTCTTATAATATTAGAATAAAAATTTTTTTACATATTCAATTAAAAAACATTTTTTTATTTAACATGAATAGGTTTTTTTTATGATGCTTCTGTTACTTTAAATTAGTAACACGTGTATATTTGTTATTTTTACAAGTATCTTGTAGAAAGATGTTAACATTAGAGAGGTATGTCGCAGAAAGCCCGAAAAAATTCTGCCACAGGGCCCCAGTGTTATCCTTTTTTATTGATCTTGCACTAAACCTTTACTGAATCCCATATTTATGTAAACAAAGCTCTTCATTGTTTGCATTTTCTGAAGTTATTAACAGATGGTAGCATAAATCATAGGTTGAAAAATAGTTTGTCACCAACATATAAAAATTAATGAAGTTGGTGAGAATGTGGGTGATTTCTAATTTAGTCTAATTGGCATTTATCTTTTTTCAATATAATATCTTGGAGGATATTTTTGAAAAAAAAAATTAAAATTATGAATTTACAATGAAATGATCAGCCAAAAACATATAAATGGGCTTTTAAAATTTAACCTTGATTGTTTGAAAGTATTTTATGTGGTAAAAATACTAATAAATGAAAGATGGAAAAGAATAAAATAATGAAATATTTCTTTTAGTCATAATTTCAATTTATATTAGCAGGGGTCTGTCCAGGCCGAATTTACTACCGTTTAGCGGTACCTTCACAAATTCAACTTTAGGAAAAACGGTAGTTTCACAAATTCAATTTTAGGAAAAACGGTAGTTTCACAAAATACTTTTTCTTAAAATTTCCTTTTTGTATCCTTTAAGGAACGATAAATCCATATTTTTGTGTTGATTTTTTAATATAATTTTTAATTTTTCACAAATTATGTCTAAATTTTCACAAAATAGGTACCTGTCAGAAAAACCTAGACAGACCCCTGATATTAGTCTAGTTTTGACGAGTGGAAGAAGTTAAGAATTTAAACTTATGTGGGCAAATCCTGCAGGTTAAGTTGAAATAGTATATTGTTTTAATATCTCTAAATTTTGTCACTTCAAAATTTTATTCTACTAGTATATTAAACAGATATACAACAAAACTTATATGGGGCTACAGTTTTTAGATAAAAAAAAATATGCTAACTTTTTTAAGATTAGTTAATTCTTTGCTTTATACAGAAGATATCTCATTTAAAGTTAAAATAAAAAAATGTGTTCATTTAAAAAAAAATTTATTTTTTTTTTTCAAAATTTTAAATAGCAGCTTTTTTAAATGTCATTAAGAGTCATCAAAGCTGAATTATATTTAAAATTACAAAACTGTTTTTTAAATAAATAAATAAAATATCTAACTCATCGCTTCATTTGCATTAAACTTTTTAATATTTTTTAATGTATTTTTCTAAATTCTGATCCAGATTGTTAAAAATAGTCTCAAGATATTATAAAGGACTCAAATTGTTTAAAAAAGGAAAAGTAGAAAGTGATATCAAGCATATATAGGAATTCTATTCTTGCTTCTGTTTTATTACCATTATTGTTACTGGTGAAACCCACTTAGCAAATTGATAGGTGCTGATTTGTCGTGGAAGTAATGGCGGTTGGTGTGCAATGCTGACAACATTGCCACCTACATGCTGTTGGCCTCTAAATAATGGAGCCTTAACCTTCATTATTACTCTGGCTCACAACGAGCTGTTGCCGCAATGCTCTACTAAAAGAACTATTAGCTTTTATGGTTAAATATTTTGTTCGTGTTCTGTAAGATACATTGATATTTTATGTGTAAAAATTAGTGTTTATTGAGATTAAAATTGAAAATATAAGTTTATTATCTTATTTATTTTAGCATTTGATCCACAATTTTATTAACAAAACATAATTTGGGCCTCGTCTGTAAAGGTGTTTGACATGTCTTTAAGCGCCAGGTCGTTTTCTTAGTTCATAAACAGTGATCGAGTTTGAATCATTTAATAACTGATTTGTTGAAGAAGAAAAAAAAAGAAATATTTTTAATTGAAAGAAACAAAACAAAACAAAACAAAAAAATACAGCCAAAAAAAATTATTCATTCTGTAGTTATTTTTTAAGTATTTTCAAGATTTGTTTTTCTATAGACAAAATGAAACAAAGAAAAAGGTCTTTGATCTCTTAACATTCATTGAATCAATTTACAATTTATATAGGGAGACCCAAAAGTATGAAAACGGTCAAATATCTGAGATATTTCTTTAATCGGATCAAAAATCTAAAAACACACGTGTGAGATGTTCTGTGGCCGTTTAGCTCTAAAACCATAAAATTTATATCATTAATTTTTAGTCCATGATATGAACATCATCTTTGGATGTTGGGGCACTTTATATTTATTTGCTGTGGGGGGTGAAGGATAAAAGGGAAATAAACTTTATTATTGCTATCAAGCATTATTTCTAATGAAACAATTTCCAGCAGTAGGACAATCAGTTTAAAAGTTCTTAAGGTTTTATATATAAAAAGAACAGTATTGTAATTATTACTATTTCATCTGACATTTCTGTCTAGGTAAGTTAAACAGTTTTTTTTTTTTTTACGCTACATCAAATAAAGTTTAGTTGAGCATGCTAATCACTTTGAACTTAGGTCATGGTCAAAAATTATAATCGTCAATCATCTAAATTCAGTTTTTTTCTTCAAAACTATTGGTGTCATCGACTTAATTTTGATTTAATTTGATTCAGTATAAAAAAAAGTACATAAAGAACAATGCCTTACTTCTTTAGTTAACAAAGCAAGGCGTGCAAATAGTTCAAAAATAGTACTCTGTACACACGAAACCTTTATTGCTCTTTTAACTGCTAAACTGTTAATTTTATCGACTTGGTTTTGATCTCAGTTCTTTTAGGATAAGTTGAATAAATAAAGCAGAAGCAGAACTTCAGTTACCTATACAGCTATGTCAGTCGCATAAATAGATATAAGTACAAATTGTACTTTATTTATAATTGATATAACTTTCAAAGAAATAGTATGGACTTTGTTTTGCATTTGTTCAATTCAGCAAAAAAATACTCCGGGAGCAATTGCCTAGCTATCAATGTGAGATATGTAAATAGCTATGAGTACAAAACTTCTTTTTTATATATAAAACTTATGACTTCTAAACTATTAGTTCTATAGACTTGGGATTGGTTACATTCGTTTCAGCTTGAAGTTATAAACTGAAAATATTTTTTTATTTCTCTAGATAACAATAATTTAAGTCTATCCATCATTTTGCCCTTTCTTGCCTCCTTCCCTCCTGTGTCCCTTAGACATGGAACATTAAACCTAACGTCTTAAAAAAAATTATTTCAGACTTTGTAGTAACCAACAAAGATAAAAACTTCGTGGTTTTTTATGGTACTTTATGATAAACCTTTTATAGTGCAAAATAATGCATTTATATACCATGCCGCTCCACTTTTTTAAATGATGCATTCGAAGTCAGCCCTTAGGGGTGAGGTAGGGAACAACTAGAAAATGTAAATAGTAGGAATCGAAATTTTACATTTCAGTTTTGAATTTCCTGAAAGTAGTACCCTGATATGATCTACGTGTTTTTGCATTTTGGTTTTACAGATGGTGCTTTAATTGCAAAATGAAAAAGGGATACAAATTGTTATAAAAGGAGAAATACATGTCAGATCGAGAGAAAAAACCTCTTTTCTTCAAACTCAATATTATTTAAATCTGATTGGGCGAGCGCATTTCTTGACTTTTTTGTCGGATGCCTTATAGCAGCAATTCCCAAATGGTGTTCTGCGGAACCCTAAAGTTCCGTGGAAGAGTTAAAGGGGTTCCGCGATTCTTTTATAAAAAAGTAAGTTTCCCTAATAACCATTTTCAGAGGTGATTGTGCTCCAGAAAAAATCCGGATTTTTTGCTAACTACGATCCAGAAGTTTCCGGAAGTCCAAGGTCCAGAAGTTTCAAAAAATCATCTATCACGTTTATGTATAAAAATTCTAGTATATTTTGTTTAAAAATAATAGAACTAGAATTTATTCTTAGCATCTCTTTCATTTGTAAATTTTTTTTTCTGGTAGTGTAATAAATGTGATTAGAGATAAAGGTGAACTTATAAGTAATTATTCATTCAAATTATACTATATATAATTTATTTAGAATTTCATGTTTGAAAATATCAACAATGATTTAAATTTATAAAGATATTTTGTATATATATTTTGAAATGCGTCATTAATGATTTTACTCAAGAAATTTTCTGGATTTTTTAGTTGGGCTCACAATCACCCCAGCATTTTCAACATTTATATTGTTATTAGTTTAATTTCGAAGTAAACAATAATTCGGCTTATTTTATTCAATTTCCGCTTTATGTATATCGCCAAAAATAAATTCGTAACTAGACTAGATATAGCACGAGGAGAGCAAATTCAACTGTCGGGCATAAAAATCCAGTTTAAGATTATTAAGGATAAAACAAAAAAAAATCTTCATTCCTGTAATTAAATATTTTAAAAATAGTCTTCTATAGGTTATAACTAAGGCCCGGAGTTTAATGACATTTGCATTTTTTGACATTTTTTGTCCTTTAGAGCATTTTTTGAGATTTATAGGGCATTTTCTTTAATTTTTGCGGCGTATTTTGCTTTAAAGCATTTTTTAAATTTTTTGTTAATTTTTTGTAATTTTTATAATTTTTTATTATTACACTGGCTTCCAAACAATGAAGAAAATCTCTAGGATATTAACAGGTGAAGCAACATCTTTTCAAATTGAAGAAGAATTGTCAGTAAGTGTGACAGTCCTTTTCAAGTACGCACCAATAACATCAGTAGACGTTGAAAGAAGCTTCTCCTGGTATAAAAATTTGTTTTCAGACAAGAGACGCTCGTTTACACTTCAAAATATTAATAAAAAAATTAATAATCCACTGTAATTCTGATATTTAGTAATATTATGAGATGGAAGTTGTTATATTAATTTAAGTTTCTATACAAAATGAAAATGTTTTGGAGTCAATATATTTTCCTTTTTTTTTGTTATTTTAGGATGTAACGTATTTTTCAAACTGTAATGAACGTAGAACAAGTATTGCATTGCTTTATATTTTTTGAAACGACTCATAATAATTTTAAAGAGTAAAACATTGTTTTAGTTCAATATTTTTACTTCTATTTAAGTTATGTCATAAGGCATTTTTAGCGCAATTTTCGCACTTTAAGGGCATTTTTTGCAGTTTGCAAGGGCATTTTTTGCAATTTTTAAGGGCATTAATTGAGATTTTTTAGGTCATCAAAATCCGGGCTCTAGTTATAACGTTTACTATACCCTTAATAAACTCTGTTTATAAAGTCTGGGTTCCAACGGAAGATTGGTGATTATTTAGGGATCGGTAGCCGAAAATATTCGAGAACCGCTGTCCTATAATACATACAATGAAAACACATACAATTGGAAGGTATAAAGATATGGTGTCAAACGAAAATGAAGTGTATTTTAATAATCGTATTTAGTGTTGAATAGTGATTAATTTTTTATTTGTGTATTTTAGGTGTACTCCGGATACAGATTTTTATCAGCAGCGTCTGAGTTGAAGAAAAAGATCTGCATTGTGAATATTGGGCCTACACGAGCTGATGAAATTGCTGACTTAAAACTAAGTGTACGATGTGGAGATATAGTTCCAAAAATAGAACTATTGTGATAATTAATCTTTGTAAGAGTTGTTATTTTATTTTTTAAATATACGTTTTAGCTCGAAAATGATTTTTGTTGCTTTTTTTTTAATTGTTCTCTTGTCGATGGTTTGTTGGACGGCATCAAGGACATTTTTCAATTCATCAAAGATGTTATGAAGATGTTTGTTGATACAGATATATTGTAAAAGAGAAGCGCTGATGCTGAAGAATACATTAAAATGGATCCAGGAATTTTTAGTTGTTTGATCTAATTATTGTTATATAATCTTAAAAGTATGATTTTTTTTGTATGTCCTTGTATCTCTATAAAAACGAGAAGACACTCTGTTCTTAATAATTGCTCATAGTACAAAAAGGAACGTTATTATTCATGAGCTGCAACACCTCAGTGCCTCTTTTCGCCAGTGCGTCTGCCCGCTCATTTCCACTAAGCCCACAATAAGCCGGAACCCACTGCAGAACAGTCGCTTTTCCCAGTTGTTCCAGTTTTTGAATGAATTGATTCCCGTTTTTTAATGGACGATAAATAACTACAAACTAAATTTTGCAAATATTTGACTATTTTTGCTTGCTTTTTAAAAGTCATAGCATGACATAACTACTATAAAGTGGTGAATTATATAAGCCTACGAATTATTTAGAAATAGTGGTGGACAAAAATCTACTAAATTGAATTTATTAAGCCAAGAATCACAATTGATAAACTACCACTTTAAAATATTTATTTGCTGTCCGGAGCAAGTTGGCATCTCTGTGTTGAAGACGTCTGAGACACGTCAATTATTGTTTTGACGTAAGAAACAAATGACGTCTCCCAGGCGTTTTCGTATGTCAAGGGGTTAAATAGATATTAAATATTTTATACAAGACATGATTGGGGAGATTGACTATTAAATTATTACAATATTGTTACGCCGCAACTTTACAACTTATTATGTCTTTAATTTTAAAATATTCATCGAATTCATCCCTAATTATTTACTTTATTTTAGAAAATTATGTTACTGAAACTATAGGTATAAACACATGATTCAATTTTTTTAAATTAATTTTTATTAAAAAATTTTTATAAGTGAAACAAATTAAAATTTAATCGCAAGTTGTTTTTGACACCCGGTAGTAAAGATTTCGAATCAACTATTAATCACGTATTTTCAAGATTCTCCCATATTATAATTTAAATCTTATAAATTCAGATTCTTCAAAAAAAAGGTACATTTACTCAAATAAATGGAGACTCTGTAAATGAAATATAAAAAGCTCTGAAACAGCTGTGATAACATCAATTAATATCAATTAATTAACATCATCTGATATTTCTAATTAAATTTCTATGGATGCCTAGTTTGTATTTCATACTAACTCCGAAAACAAGGAAAAATAATCTGTCCATAAAATAATCAAAATAAATTTTTTATATTATATGATTATCTTTTGAAATTTCGTTGTGCAATAACAACCAAATTAAATATTAAGGACTAGATATGATATTTTTTAACACCTCCTCAGTGCAATATTTATCGTTATTAGTGCGAGTTAAGTCATTGTATTTCCTCAAGGTTAGTTTTTTTTTTTTTTTTGATAATTCCTATCGAGAAAGTCAGACAAATAAAAACACTTTACGAAATGTGAGAAAATGAGCTGACGCAAGATGCTGCTTATTTCGTTTACGAAAATGATTGAACTTCATTAAAGCTGCTTTATCTATATTTAAAATAGTAAAAAAAAAAATCTTTTATCTAGATTTTGCTTTAAAAAATATATTGAAATAAGCCTTCAAATTTTACATACCATATAAATATAATTGTGGGTGATATCACAATTTTTCCTGTACGTTTACATGAAATTAATTAATAATATAACAGTCAAAAATATTAACGTAAATATGCATATATATGCCTGAAATAACTTATTATTAAATGTGAATTCCCAAAAAATATATGTATGTTTTTTTTTATATTCATAAAACGAGTATTCGTTTCGAATCGTCCTTCCGCCATGTAAACAATAAACATTTTGTAAATCAAAAAGTGTCTTGATAAACAGATCTAAATTAAAAATAAAAAAATTGATCCTTTTATAACCAGGAAAAAGGACATTTTTTTAGCAATCAATTCTTTTAATATTCATTGGGCAATTTCTAATTTTTAGTTTAAAGTTATAGCAAGCATAGCGAAACACTTTCTGAAAGAAGGGCCCGATTCGATTGGTTAGTTTTCAATCCAAATGTAATTAAAAAAATGATCCTTACAAGATAAAGGCCGAGAGTAGGTTATAAGGCTAAAATTAAAGGCCTTAAATATTTGGGATGGGGCACTCTCCCATAAATCTGTCTGGGAGACAAGTTATTCCACAGGGGAAAATTTCAAAGCTGCAACATTTTCTAACCAGAAATATGCCTACATAGGGCTAAATGTTTGACTTCTTTTTTTTTTTAAAAAAAATTAGCCTATAATAGTCTTATCTGAACAAATGGATTTTTTTAAGTGAATCGACGAAAATTTTTTAACACACAATCATGTAAATCAACTATTTTAATAGAAGAAAATCCGATTACAAAAAATAAATGTTAACAATTATTTTTTTAATTATTTTAGTTAACAATAATCGAAAGTATTTTTGAATCTTTAAGAAATGCCAATTTTTATATTGTTTTAAACTATATAATTTTTAGTGGGAAAAAAAATGAAAATCGAGCAAAATCAGAAGTATAATTCTTAGGAGATGAAAATTTAAATAGATAATCATTTTAGAAAGTTTATTGCTCAAAAACTTTATGTCCGATTTCGCTCAAATGTATTTTGCCATTGAAAATTATCTAGTTTATATTGACATAAAAATTTAAAAGTCTTACTTCAATAAATTAGTAATTGTTTCGACCATTATTAAATAATTAATATTTTAAATGAAATAATAATTACTTCAACGAAATTATTTTGTTTTTACACATAGTAATTATGTTAGTTTTTACATAGTTTATATTTATATTAGAACTATAATAGTTATAAGAATTACTTAGTTTATATTAGAACTCAGTATATATAGTTGATATTAGAACTACTTATTTCGTGAAAAACCAATCACGAAAAACAAAGTTTTTTTTATTTTTTTGCATTGTTTGTTTATCAATGGTTATTAATAAAAAAATTATTTGCCTTTCGAATGCGTACGTAAAAGATGCTCATCAAGAGTAATAAGTTAAAAAAAAACATATTTGCCTTTCGAATGCGTACGTAGAAGATGCTCATCAAGAGTAATTATTTAAAAAAATCATTATTTGCATTTCGAATGCGTACGTAAAAGATGCTCATCAAGAGTAATTAGTTAAAAAATCATTATTTACCTTTCGAATGCGTACATAAAAGATGCTCATAAATCGTACTTAATTAAAAAAAAATCGCATTTATGCGCAGAAATTTTTTTTAAAAAATGTTTTCAATTTTTTCTAAAGGAAGATATAAAAACGTTTTTTTTTTTTTTTTTTCAAAAAAAATATTAAGTTATAAGAGAATTTAATCAAAAACTAAACATTTTTAGAATGGGGGGAAAGACCTGTATTTGACCAAAATAATTCAAGTACTTGAAAGAACTGATGGAAGATATGTATACAAATATTGAAAAAGAAATAAATAAGTTGTGAAACGAATTATTTTCGATAACAGAGTCTTTATTAATAAGGATTCAGAAGTAAAGGTACACCTGAAATATATGTTTCAAAGCATTGCCATTGCATAAAAATTAATATAAATTTGGTTTTTATACAAAAAAAGGTATTCTAAATTATGTTGATAAATGCCCAAGCAACCATTTGCGTGATTTAATAATTGCATATAAAAACATGAAGCTTAGGAATTTTCATGGTTTAACGAAAGATTTATAGTTCAATATATCTACAAACTTTTTTTGAAAACTTAAAAGAAAAAATTGTCCGAACGAGTATTTAATATGAGTTGTGACATCTTAAAGAGCTAAAATTAACTTATTTAGAACTTTTTTAGCTGTCCAGTTTTACAATCCATAAGAATTCCTAGTTTGACTTACAATTACATTTACAGAAAAGGCCGGCCAGGTGGCCGAGCGGTTAGCGCGCCTGACTGCGAAGCCATTGACTGCGTGTTCGAATCCCGCTCTGGGCATGGATGTTTCTCTCTCTCTCTCTTTGTGCTGTCCTCTGTTGTGTGTGTGATGTGTCAATGTGGCCCACCCTATAAACTGATTTGTGGCGTGGGCAACGTTGCTCTCCTCCGTCACTTTGGTTCACAGGTTCCCACTGGGTAACTCTAAATGAGTAACAATTCCGGCATCTTCATAGGCAAAGATTCAAATTCAGTGCCTACCATTGGAAAAAAAAACATTTTCAAAAGAAAAGAAAAAAACTTAATGATCAGTTTACGCACTATTACTCACTCTTAATGGTTTGAGAGCCAAACTTTAACCATATTAATTAGAGTAGATGACATTTTAAGTTACGAAATCAGACACAAAAACGTCTTTTCTCTGAATTGTCATATCTTTTTGAACTGATTTGAATTTTTGATCCTCAAAAAATGGGGGAACAGTTTAGGCAGCAGAACGGTAGTAAGTTTGTACTCTTGCGTATTTCGTTATATAGAGAACTTTTAAACGAATCGAAAAATTTTTGCTCTAATAAATAAAAATCGTTAATACGAATATAATTTCTCTTAAAAATATCTTTTAGTAATTATATATATATTTTAAATTTTTTAATTTAATAGTTGAAGGTATATGAATTTTAACATCATTTTAAAGTATGTACTCCTAAATAACAAAATACAAAAATTCAGCGAATTATATATGATGGTTCTCGAGAAATTTAAATATACAACTTTTTAAAAAATTGGATAAACTGAGAAATTATTTGACCGTTTTCGTTTTTATTAATATGCAGCATATACACCCAGCAAGACTTATGATTTTTATAAATTTCATTTAATTTATTTGCTTTATGATATGAATTAAATGCATTTCGATGACATTTAGAAATGTTTATTTAAGCAAATAATTCTTGGAATCTCCCTGTATTATATTCAATCACAAATTTCAGTGTTTGGAGAATACTATAATTTTTATTCTTTCTATCGTAAATTGTTTAAAAAGATAAAAAGGCAAGTAAATGTGAAAAGATAAAACACATCTTTGTGGATAAAACACATTGCTCTCTAACGTAAACTATTAGGCGCCATTAAAACAAAAATATAGCTGCAGATAATTATTGAACCACGGTGCATAATAAATACATACATAATTAAAATAAAAGTGTACAACAGTTTGTTTACATAAATTTTTCTCATTTGAACCTTTCATTTTTATCTAACTTACAGTTCAGTTTGTTTCAGCTGTTCGTTGCACAGACAAGAAAAGAATTTAAAATTATCTAAACTTATACACTTAAGCAATCGCTCTAATGATTGCTCATCTCCTTGAAATTACAGTTTTCAGCTCTTTGTTGCCAAAAGAAATGTCATTGGTTTTATTTTAAAATCTTCATACATACGCATTGGTGTTTTATATAATAAGAAAATAATTAAAAGCAACATAACACATAAATAAGGTTTAGACTATAGTTAAAAAAATGCGTATGAAATATTTTAAAAAATTTAAAACTAATTGTCACTTTTTAACTAATAGCAAAAGTTATGCATTTTTTTAAATTATAAAACTACAAAAAATTAACACACGAAACTATAAACTAACACAAAACTATAAACTACACGCAAAACTATAAACTAACACTTATACAATTAGAACCTAATATTTGTAGTTTAACATACAATATCGAAGGGAAAAAAATTCGTCCTTGAACAATTCAACTTTTGAATCTTATCTCGCTTATTAGTTAAGCAATACTTTTCCTTATGTCAAAGCAAGGTATACTGAGTTTGTTACTAAGTAGATTTCATGATGAAATGGTGCAATTTTTTTTAAAAAGAAGATTGGATTGTTAAGGAATTCGCAACCTGTTTACAGAAACTTAGATCACCCCACAAAAATCAGATAAGATGCTTAACGGTATTACGTTTTAGTTTTTCACAACAATTTATTTTCGATAATTTATCTGAAATCGGAAAAAAAAGAGTGAAAATAAAACAAAACATAATTTATAAAAGAGTGATCTCCTACGAAATTCAAACTCATATTTATGTTGGTTTTTTCCAAGAGATTATATACTTCAAAAAATGCCTCAAGAATTGCTAGTTGTCAAAAATTTCGTAAATGGTAATTTTGTTGAGTGCAAACGATACCTTGACAGCACCAACCCTGCTAATGGGGAAGTTTATGCTCGAATACCTGATAGTGACCTTGATGAAGTAATCGAAGCTGTAGAGGCTGCTAAAAATGCATTCAAAGAGTAAGTTGTGTTAATTTTTTTATAAATAATATTGTGCTCGAATGCATTCAATGAGTAAAATGTGTGAATTTTTATAAATACGTATTAATGTTGCTCGAATACCTGATAGCGACCCTGATGAAGCAGTGGCGTAGCGAGCTTAACTCGCGCCCGGGGTACAATACCCTTTTAGCGCTCCCCCCCTCCCATTCGAAAACCATATAATATTATATGTAAAATATACTCGCAAATAAATAAATAAACAAAGTAAAATAAATAAAGTCATAGACTCAAGCTAGGCTTTAAATTTGAGACAAAAAATGTAGTTGAGAGAACAAGACTAGATTTTGAAATGTATATGATCATCTAGAATTAGTTCAAAAGATATCTATTATTTATTTTACATATTTATAAAGAAATATTTTAGAAACACGCAGTTTTAAAACCATAAAAAAGTAAATATTTATTATCTCTAAGGAGATACATATATTTAATAATCATATGATTATCATACATTAATAAAACTAATTACTATGTCTAAATTTTCCGTGTTTTTGATGAAGAAATGCTAGGTCACTTAGGCGATCTGTCAAAATTAATTTTAATTTGCTGAATGAACGTTCGCAGTTAGCAATTGGTACTGAGATAGTCAGGAGTATTTGAAATGCCGCTCTCAGATTTGGAAAAACATCTTCTCCATTCGAGATTGATTATAAAAGTAAGAAATTCTAATGGAGTTTTAGGTTTAATTTCTTTTCTGCTGCGGAGTAACATTTTGCTGTCATATATTTTGATAAAAAGTTCTATTACATTGAAATCTGTATTATAAAATTCACCCAGATTTTTAAAATTTTTTTTCAAGGTCGTTATCAACATTATCCTTGTTTAATAAATTTTCAACGTCTAGTAGAAATCCAAATTTGAAATTAAGGTCACTTAATCGTGTACACATTTCTTGTTGGAGACGATCAAGAGTGCTTTTCATAACGCGAGAAATTTCACTTTCTGCGGAAAGACCACCATAGCCAATTCTCCAGGCACGTATTGTTGTATCCATATCCCATTTTTCACAAAGAGACTCTGCTTTTTCTATTGCCTCTTTACAGAGCTTGTCTCAAATTTCGGCTAGTTCAGTCGCTAATGATTCAAGATCATGGAACACTTCTCTAAAATTCATTCTAGGATCTTGTAATCTGAGCTGCACACGATCAATCCTTCTTAAGATTTCGTACCAGAAATGAACTAAAGTTACAAAACTAAAGGTTAGTATATTTTACAACAGAATTGTAGCTTCACTTCTGTTGTCACTTGTAGTGATAGTGTGCTCTGCTAATTTTTCTATTAGTTCTTTTATATTCCATAGCCCATAGATGATAACGATAACCGCTCCGGTGGCGCTCCATCGCGTTTCAGAAGTGTGACCTGCCATCACGGCAGCATTATCGCAACATTGTGACATGCAGTTTGTTAATGAAATTTCATCGTAATTTAATTTCTCGAAAATTGTATTTTTGATCGAGGCTGCATCTTTAGCATGTATTTCAATAAAATTCAAAAAAGATTCTTTGATGGAAACTTTCTTATTGATAAAATCAGCATCTACATACCTGGCGACTTGGGACATTTGTTCTCGATGAGAGATATCAGGAGTTGAATCAAACAAAAGTCCATAATATTTATTCCGCTTGATATCGTTTATTAGTTGATTTCGAACTGTAGATGCCAGAAGATGATGTTGTTGTTGTTGTAGTTCATTTACGTCGCACTAGAGCTGCACAATGGGCTATTGGCGACGGTCTGGGAAACATCCCTGAGGATGATCCGAAGACATGCCATCACAATTTTGATCCTCTGCGGAGGGGATGGCACCCCGCTTCGGTAGCCCAACGACCTGCACGCGAAGTCGAGCACTTTACGGTAGCACAGTTTAACGAGGACCAATACCGCACACCCTCGGTCCCTGCGCAGACTGACCCAAGTGGATCACCCACCCGCACACTGACCGCAGCCAGTGATGCTTGACATCGGTGATCTGCTGGGAACCGTGTCTTAACGATCAGTCCTCTGCGGGACGCCAGAAGATTAATGAATTCATTTGTGGTGACAAATATGAGAACAACAAATTTTCCTATTAACAAATTTTTTCATACTCTATTCACTTAATAATAGAATCGTCGAATAGATGTAGTAAGTAATCTTATTTGATTTATTACTTACCAAGAATGCTTTGAACTTGAAAGGTAATAACATAGTGAAATAAACAATATAATTTATGCTGACATTAAACTTATATACAGCATTTAATAACATTTCATTTTTATTCTAAGCAGAGCGCGATGACAAGGACGTGAATTAAATATTGAAATATATTTAATATGAATTTAATATAATATGAATTAAATATTATGAATAATATTTATGAATTAACATTTATTATATTACACTGGCACTAATTTAAAATATATTTTCCAGAAATCAATTATAATAAAAAAAAATTATCCAGCAATTTTTTGTTTTGCGGACCATTTGGCGCCCCTTTGTGAGTAGCGCCCGGGGCATGATGCCCCCCCCCTCGCTACGCCACTGTGATGAAGTGATTGACGCTGTAGCGGCTGCTTAATATTCATTCAAATCAGCGGATCAGTTAATTTTCATAAGTAATAATGTTACTCGAATGTCTGATAGTGGCTACCAAAATTTATTCAAGGAATAACTTGTGCTACTTTTCATTTAAAATAATGTTGTTTAAATAGCTGATTGTAAACTTGATGAAGTGAAGCTACTTAATAGAATTTGTAGAAGCTACTTAATATTCATTCAAGAGTAAGTTGTGTTAATTTTTATAAATAATGTTGTGGCTCGAATGCCTGAAAATGGCTTCTAAAAATTTATTTAAAAAATTTGTTGAGTTACTTCTTATAAAAAAAAATAATGTTGCTGACAGTGACTTGGATAAAGTGATTGGAGTTGTAGTGAAGCGACTGCTTAATAATCACTTTAAAAGTAAGCTGCGTTAATTTTTATAATTAATGATGTTGCTCGAATACCTGACAACGGCTACTAAAAATTCATTCAAAGAGTTAGTAGTGTTAAATTTTATGAATAATAATGTTGCTCGATCGAGTTACTAAAAATGCATGTAATGAGTAAGTTGTTTTAATTTTTTAGAAATGATGGTGGCTATAAAACACGCATTCAAATAATTATTTGTTAGTTTTTAAAATTAATAATGTCACTCGATAGTGATCCTGATGAAGTGATTGAAACTGTAGTGGTTGCTAAAAGTTCATTCAAAGAGTTGGTTTAATTAATTTTCAGGAATGCTCGAATCATTCGTAGTGTCTACTAAAAATGCTGTTAAAGAGTTGAGGGCTGTGTTAATTTTTATAAAATATAATGTGCAGCACGAAAGAAAGAGAACACTCTGAATAACTTTTGATCTAATGATAGGATTTTTACTTGCCAAGACTCAATCTTAATGATTTGAGGGCCTAACTTTAGTTATGCTAATTATCAGACGATATATTATAGACGAAATCAGACACAGAAACGTTTTTTCTTTGAATAAACATCCTCCTCTTTTTTTTCGATGATGCATCTGAATTCGTGACTTTCAGAATATGGGGGGGGGGGACGTTAGCCGCCGCCATTTGGAATTTCTGGCACAATCGTGAAGAGAGGAGAGCAGTCAAAAGTTTAGACCCATTAACGTTAATTAATAAATTTTTTTTTTTTAATTCGTCCGATCGCGAGAACTTTCTTAGTGAAAAAATTTTGCATACTCTTATAAGATTCGTTTATTTAAAGATGATTTCTTGTGAAAAATAGTTTTTAATAATAATTTTTTTATTTAATAATAATGCATGAAATTTTGAGTCGTAAGGTATACAAATTTTTTCATAATTTTAAACAAGTAATTTCAGATGACAAAATACAAAATTTAAACAAAATCGATGGAATAGTTTCTGAAAAATCCAATTTTTTATTTCTCTAGAACTATTCGATCGATTTTGTTCAAATTTTATATCTTGTAATTTAAAATGTCGCAGTAAAAAAATATTTATTCGTGTATACCTTAAAAATCTATTTATTTTACTATTTCTAAATAAAATAAAAGATAATTATAAATTTCCAAATATTTTTCTGATTGCGGCTATGTCCCTATTTTCAGTGTCACGAATTTCTTCAGACAATGTATGTTTTTGTCTCAATTTCTAACATAAAATATCGTCTCCACTTATTAAATAACATGCCCTCAAACCATATAGATTTGGTCTTAATACGTGAAAATATGATCATAAAATCAAAAGTTATTCAGGGTGTTTTCCTTCTCTCCGTTCTTTTCTCTTTCAACTGCTGTTTGTGCTTATCCCTTTGATGCAGATGGAACATCGAAGTACCTTTTGTATATATATTTTTCCCACGCTCTAATTACAAGCAAAAATATATTTCAGTAATTTTTAATTATAAGAAACACTATAATCATTGCTAAATAAAAATCTGTTAGATTATCGGAATTATATTTGTATTAAAATATAAAATCCAAGAAAGTAATAAGAAAAAAAATTTTTTTCATTCATATTCAAAAATGTATTAATAATTGATTTTGTAAATTAAAAAAATTTCAATGCTGTATAACTGTTTCTCTAAATAAGAGCAAATTAGAGAAATTATTGATTGGAAGTGAGCCGTGTTTGGAAAAATTTTATCTTAAAGGAAGCAGAAAAAAAACGTATTCATAATCATAAATTATTAAAATGTTAAATATAATATTTTCTACTTATTTTGACCTAAATTAATATAAAATAAAGAAAAAGTATGAAAAATAGTTTTACTAAAAATTCTGCTTCAAAGGGTTAAGATCTGATGTAATTTTATGACTATCCTTGCACTGGCTAGGCCCACCTTATTTACTCGTGCAAGGTGAGCATTATTTGACTTTGTTTAAATAAATAAATATCTTGTGAAATATAGAGGGTGTTCATTACAATTTATTACATAAACGAAGGTGTTTATTACAA